TAGGCAGCAATTATCTTGCAAGAGCTCTATCATTCAAGCTTTATAAACAAGATATGGCGAGCAGCATGTAAAGGAGGTTTGCCAATATCACCTTAACCCTGCTGTACCGTTCGAGTAAACTACACAAATGTACTGTTCGGGTCAATATGACCCAACTATGATTTACGCTCCCTAATAGAAATAAAATAAGCTAATGGTGCTAAACAAAACTGTATTAATAAAAAATTATAGTTAATTAAACAATAATTATATTGTTACTGTAAATTAAACCTTATTAACAAAAATAAAAAGCATTTTTTCTTTCCCAGAAAACCCTAAGAACAAATATCTACAAAATTTAATTCAGTTTACAACTGGGACAGTAATAGAAAGAATGGGTTTTACAAATATGTTTATGACATATACAACATAAAATATTAGTCTTGTTATCCTTTTTAGAGCAAAATTTACAGCGTGCTCGTTTAGCAGGCGGAGTTGGATTGTCCATAGACGGTTCACTAGAATTTCCATCTTCTCTACTCGCTTCTGTTCGTGTTCTTTTTACCAGTTCTTGTGAGTCTTTAGTTCTTGGTAAATTTTTCCTGGAAAGGATAAGTGGTTTCACCAGTGTTTTTCCCAATTCCTCAAGAAAAATTCGCCGTTTTGTAAGTTTGTTGGTATTCCATTGGGGATTTATCGATGTCCATAAAACGAACGCGTTGTAGGCAGAAATGTCCAGCATATTGTAAAAAACAATCATGGGCCAGCGATTTGTCTTCCTCTTACATGTATATGTACCAACAAGCTGATCTAGAGTATCCACTGCCCCCTTACTGGAATTGTAATCTAAAATAATTTGGGGCTTCTTGTCATTTCTGTCACTAATAGCCTTTTCATGATGCAAAGTACTCATAAGAATAACATTTTTATTCTTTTTAGGAATATAGTTAACAACAGTGGTATCTTGTGTGAAGTAAAAAGACGAACTATGAACTTCTTTATTCGCAATTTGTGCTGGAAGCTCTCGCTTATTTTTTCTTATAGTCCCCAGCATTGTATTTTTTCTTTTTAGAAGAAGTTGTCCTAAATTGTACGATGTAAAAAAGTTATCACATGTAATATTGTGGCCTTTCAAATCACTACACAAGTCGCACACCACACGCATTCCCTGATTCCGTTCTGGCGCGGCACCTGCTTCCTTTCCTGTATAGATCTGCAATTTTAGAGCATAAGAACTTTTACTGTCACATAAGCCCAAATTTTTATGCCATATTTCGCTGGTTTGCTTGGAATGTACTGTTTGAAGGACAGCGCCTCTAAAGGCAACTAATTGCTCGTCGACGGTAACATTTTCATCAGGGTTAAAAAATTTGGTAGATTTTCAACCCATTTTTCCCAAATTTCACTATTGCAGCAAGTTTATCAGTACGTCTCCTATCCTGTCTAGTAGTCTTGTTATCAAAACGTATTACTTGCGAAATTTTGTAAATACTTCAAGGACATTGTTGCTCGAAATATACTACGACCCGTTTCTTCATTCCACAAACTTTTAGTTGATTCACCATGGACTTAAAACTCAGCTAACAATAACAGACCAATGTATGCTTGTTTGAATGGACAGCGGCCTCTAAAGGCAACTAATTGCTCGTCGACGGTAACATTTTCATCAGGGTTAAAAAATTTTGGTAGATTTTCTACCCATTTTTTCCCAAATTTCACGTATTGCAGCAAGTTTATCAGTACGTCTCCTATCCTGTCTAGTAGTCTTGTTATCAAAACGTATTACTTGCGAAATTTTTGTAAATACTTCCAGGGACATTGTTGCTCGAAATATACTACGACCCGTTTCTTCATTCCACAAACTTTTAGTTGATTCACCATGGGACTTAAAAACTCCAGCTAACAATAACAGACCAATGTATGCTTGAAAACCAATTTTATCTAAGTCTTTCCAGTTGTTTCCAAAAACACGCTGTCCTTCCATGTTGGTCATATTTATAATTTGGTTTGCAACTATGTCAGAAAAGAGTGCGTCAAATGAATTTTTAATATCGAAAATTCGTGCACATGCGTACCTTGTAACTCCTGGAGCATTATTTATAACATTGGCCGTAGAAAAACGACCGCGTTGATAAGGAGGATCGAGCGACCATTGGATAGTATCGTCTTTTGAAGGAACTGTTACAGAAGGTTCTACAGGATGTTGTACGTAGAATGGAACAGCAAGGATTCATCACTACTTTCTTCCTCACTCTCACTACTTGTATTGTTTTCTGTTTCTGATATGCACTCATCACTCTCTGACACGTTCGCGAGCTCGCGAAGCTCATCTTCGGTTAGCGCTCTACGGTGCGACATTATCAACATGCAAACATAGACTGAAATTTGAAATATAAACGAATAAATGAATGCGCTTGGCCTTGGAATATTAGTGTCTTTACCACTTGTCTATCACCCCCACTTCCTTTTACGTGACATGCCATTCTACCTGACATCGTCCAGCTACACTACACATATTTTACAAGTTCTAGCTTGTAGAAACTTGTTTTTATTTATAGACGTACCTGACTGACAAACACTATTAGAAAATATAAAATACTACCAACTAAACATACCTATACAGGTAATTTTTAACGGTTTAAATAAGTGGGTCATATTGACCCGAGCGTACCATAGGTCACAATTTAATTTTTATCAAAAAAATGAGCAAGTTGATTTTTTATCTTTTATGCAATTGAAAGACCTCATATTAAGTAATAAAGTCACGAAACACCAAAACGTTACGCCGCGTAATAATTTGTAAAATAAGAAATAATTTTTTTTTGGGTCAAATAGACCCGAACAGGACAGCAGGGTTAAAGTTCAATATGAAAACAGAACGAAAACCTGCAAGTAAAAGATTATGGCTTTTAGAATATTCTCACGAAAGATTTTCTGAAATAAATTTGTAAAAAGGCATTTAGAGATTAACTACGGGACGGTTAAATGCAAGCTGTTCTATAATAGCGTTATCAAACGCTAAATGAAGCTATAATCTTATCCCAGGAATATCGAGCGGCGAATAACATTTCAAGATCTCGCCCAAAAAAATAAAGGCAGGCCAGGATTAACATGAATGCTACAGGTTAATTACACATTCGAAAGAGGTGACCAAGTAACAATTTGAGACGTAAGAAATAACTTCGCCTGAAACTGTAAATAAACTGGAAAGGTCATACATCGTCCTGCAGAAAATAAATGGTCGAATTTACCGCATCATGTAGAAGTAACCTCAGTTATTTGAGGCAAAAATTTATAAAAGAGAGAGTAGTGTTACTAGTGTTATTCTCACATAGAAGAAGTCACTTGATGAAAAAGAAAAAGTAATAAAGTTCTGGAATATTCAACATGCCATCGAAAATTATGAAATGTCTAGTGAAGTGTGTAACACCAGAAAATGCATATAAACAGATGTTGTTAACAGTTTGGATAACAGTTGTAATGAGTCTTTGAAGTTTATAGGTTTCATTCTAATTAAGTATTGAAAACAAGTTGGTGTTAAAATAAAGTTATTTTAAAGAAGTGAAACAATATTTTATCTACAACTACAAAACACTTACTAGACATAAATAACAAATTATCAATAAAACACTGAAAACTTTGTTTTTAACCTTCTACAAAATATATTTAAAACTCTTATCACTACAGCTGTTTCGGCTGATTGTCTTTCTCAAGTGATCTATTTTTGGCATGCGTTTACACTTTATAGTCTTTAATGAAATAGGTTAAGGAGGGGAGTTATGAAAATGTATACGTTATGAAAATGTAGTTAAAAATAGATTGACTTAAGGTATTATAGGCTGTGGTTTGTATTTACTCTGTTTTTTTGTTTGTAATGTTGTAGATTAAGCCTTTTTTCCTTTTTTAGCATTGTAATCTTGGATGGGACTTTACCTGTCTGGCCATGTTCTATCTGGACTTTTCTTGTGCCGTTCTCCTAGACTGCCTTACAGTCATAATTTTTAGATCATCTTCCACGCCATCCAACCGTCTCGTTTTGGATCTTTCTCTTTTCGTCTGTCGATCAACTTTCATTTTATTATTTTCTTTGTTAATTCTTGTCTTGTATCTTCTCGTATCTTCTTTTTCATGTGCCTTGTCCGTTCCGAACGTTGGCAATCAACATGGCTATTCTGACTTTGTTTACGGCAGATCTGAATAGTTCAGCAGATGACAATCCGAACCATTGCCGCAAGTTTTGGAGCCACGAGTGTCTTCTCCTCCCTGGACCCCTTCTGCTGTCTATTTTCCCTTGAACGATCAGCTGTAGTACTCTATATTTATTATGTCTCATAACGTGACCCAAGTATTCCAACTTTCTTTTCTTTATACTTATTCCTACCTCTCTCTCTTTACCTATCCGGCGTAGTACCTCTTCGTTGGTCACGTGCTCAGTCCAGGATATACGTAATATACGTCGGTAAGCCCACATTTCGAAGGCCTCTACTTTTTTCATCAATGTTGCAGTCATTGTCCACGCCTCCATTCCATATAACAAAACCGGGAATACATAATATTTCAGAAGTCGAATTTTGAGAGGTAGGGTGAGGCTTTTGGAGGTGAAAATTTGCTTCATGCTAGTGAACGATGCTCTTGCCTCTTCTACTCTTATACGTATTTCCTTCGCTTGATCCCAATTTGAGTTAACTGTTATTCCCAAGTAGATGTACGAATCCACGTGTTCAATTCTTTCATTATCTAATATCAGTTTCTGTGGTGGTTGTTGGGTTTTGCTTACTCACATCCATTTGGTTTTCGTGATATTTAGTCTGAGTCCATATTGTGCACTTGTTTTTTGTATCTTATCTTATTCATTAGGCAACTCAGTTCCTCCATGCTCCAGAATCACAGTGTTATCAGCATACCTCGTCTCTGGACATGTCCTATCCATGACAGTCTCTGATATAGATTGAGAAACCAAAGATTTATTGTTCTTCATTGTTCTCTAGGGTGATTAAGGAAAAATTATTGAAACACCGTTTTTATACCTTTTTACAGGTTTTATTCAATTCAGAAAAAAATAATTTAAACAATGTACGTCTTATAGAATTAACATCTTAAGGTCCATATCGAATCTTTGGAGTGTCAAACCAAAAACCAATTCTGTAATAAAACGATAACAATTAGATTATTGTAACAAATAAAACAATATAAACACATGGACGAGTAAAAATCTATACCAACCATCTATAACAAAATGCTACCAAATGAATGCTACGTAAAATCAATATAAACATAATATAAATAATATTCAAATAATGCAAACAGAGGATAAAATAATTAATCGATCTAGCAGATCTCGCAAGCATATCGGGAAACGAAAGTTTAACTTCCTAGGATCAAAAATAACTATGGATAGGTCAGTAACAGCAAGACAAACAAATCAAATATACACCATTTTGATGGCGTAGCCATCTTTGGTGGCTTTGGTGGCTTCTTTGGCCACCTTGTTTCGCAGACTCCTAATACAGAGATTACTAGTCTGCCCATTTCCATTCATGGGTTTCTAAGCTTTCCTGCTTTATATAACGTTTTAATACGTGCATATTTTAATTCTCCTATGTTTATTTAACATAAGTGAATTGTTATAGGAATTTCGCTTGTTTTATCGAAATAGCCCTTCGATATTCCTCTGTCGGATTTAAGATTCTGATTAAGATTCCAAGTGATCAGTAGCTGCTTTTCATGTTGTTGCTTGACATGTTGACTATTCTTGAAATATCCTTAGGGATCTTTATTACATTGCTTTTCTGTTGGCTCCTATATTTAGTTGCCGTTGGTCGTTTATCGACTTATTCGCTTTTTGGAAGAATTTCATATTCCAGGGACAAGGGCTGCCCCTATTCTCTGCTCAGTTCATCCACCCAAATATGTTGACTAAACAGGGAGAGACTGGATATCCTGGCTGTCAGTTGGTGAAATAGAGGGCAGCTAGGCTATGCTTATTTAATGGCGACAGTATTCGCCATATCACAGTACTTTCCATGGGGTACTGTAGTATTTTATAAGGTAAGATTTTCTAAGGCAAAAATATGGTCACTAAAGAACATAGTTGTTTTTGCCGCGTCAGTACACACACATTCACACACAAATATAAAACTCACACACAATTTTTACCCTAACATGACGGTCAAAGGACTCCTCTTTCTTACTACCAAGATAACCTCACCGGTGACGTGTTCAGCCGACGATAGAATACTTGTACATGACACAAATTCTAGAGTAAACTGAAGACTTTTTAACCGCTGACGGAAACAAAGTTATACCGAAACGGTAGCGTCCATCACTGTTATATCATATCTCACAAACACACACTAAGCTACCCGTGGCAAGGTTGTTCTAGTAGTAGTAGCACTACACTAGTTCTAAAAATGGACGTAGACATAAAAATGACTTGCGAGAAGAATAGTATCTAAAGACTCAGTTTTTGTCACACTTAGTTTAAAAAAACGTAAGCAATACACTCTGGAAAGAACGTCTCAACCAGTCAGAACCTCTCACCTCTGATTCATCATGGCGGCTTTATTGCAATAGCCTCCATGATGCTCCTTCTTCTTCTTTAAGTGCCGTCTCCTTTAAGAAGGTTGGCTATCATCACGGCTATCTTCACCTTTGACACTGCTGCTCTAAACAGCTCAACAGAGTTACAATTGTACCACTGCCTCAAATTGTTTAGCCAGGATACACGTCGTCGGCCTATGCTTCTTCTGCCCAGTATCTTTCCCTGTATAATGATCTGCAGCAACTCATGATGCTCATGATGCTCCACAACACACGAATTAGAAAACTTGCTTCAGTGCCTTTTTTGGCGCTGTTCTGCATTGTACTGTGCTAATAAAAAAAATTCAAAGCTAACCTGAAGATAATCAAAGATTCCTAAATGGGGACGTCATGTTCAATCCTATTGGAAATAAAGAATCCTTACCCTTATCCTAAAATAAACAGTGATTGATAGATTGAAGGCAAAAGCGCTACACCCTTTAGTACCACCTATGCTTGATCTAGGATTGCTTATTTAATGTACTCACAACTAACCTTCATATCCGAAGGCCACCACTATCCGCCACCTGTGATTTCACTGGTAACCTACAGCTCAATCTTAGCTTAAAACGCTTAATAACGCCTGTAATGTTTATATTTCTTTTTTGCTCCTTTTTTATGCTTATACACGCCAACCTCTAATCTCTGGAATATTTTCTTGTTTGATTAGACGTTTATTAAATATCTCTGTCAATAATTCTATTAGTATTGATTGTTCGAGTTTTATTAGTTTAATGGAGATGTTTCCATATCCTGTGTCTTTTCCGTTTTTATTTCCTTGATAGTTTATCTTATCTTGTCCACACAATATTATTTATTATAAGACACACGTTTTAATTAAATATACAAATTATGGTTGATCACACTGGAGTCAAGGAACAGGCAAGATAGACCTAATTCCTGACGTTAAGAATATGAAGGCATGCTTTCTTTTTAAACCAATTTTTTAGTTTATTCTTTGTGTTCAGGGTGTTAAGATCTTTTATCATTTGATTTCAATATCCATCTTGAAGGGGTTACTACAGGATAATGAACAAAATTGCATTAGAAATCAGATCGACTTTATTTTAACCAATCTAATATTTAGAAATTCCATGGTAATTGTTAAGACTTTTTCTGGAGCAGATGTCCCCTCAGACCATAACTTCCTTGTCTCAAAAATAAAACTGAGGATAAAAAGATAATAAAATCCAAAAATTCTAAGACTTTATGTTGTATCATCCAAGAAATGAAGAAATTTACATCAGAAATGAAAAACACTGAGAATGTGAACATTATGTGGAGCAAAATCAAAGATTCTGTTATAAAAACACAGAAAGAAACTCTACAAAAGAAAACAGAAAGTCGAAAACCTTGGATGACCCAAGAAATACTAAAAATCATAGAACAAAGAAGAAAATATAGAAAAAAATCCAAATAAGAACAGAGAAAAACATAAATTATAAGAAACAAAATAAAAAGGGCCAAGAGAAATATGCATTTGAAGTGGAAGAATTGCAGAAAAACCATGATTATTATAATTTACATAAAAAAAATGAAAGAATTATCTGGAAAATCACGAACAGATACACCTAACCGAATAATTGACAAAAATAATAAACCTATTAATAACGTAATTGAAATAAAACAAGTATGGACTAAATATATTAAAGATCTTTTCATGGACACAAGAACTGAACCAACACAAATTGATAACGAGGAAGCTCCAATAATATTAAAATTTGAAGTCAAACAAGCTATAAACAACTCAAAATCTGGCAGAGCCCCTGTGCCAGATAAAGTTTATATCGAGCTGATTAAACTTATAGACCAAGACAATGTAATTCATTATAAATTCTATAAATTCTAGGTCGATTCTGATCATTTTTGACGCTTTTTATGGTGGAGCGCGACGGTTCATCGGATCGTGACGTGTAAGATCGTTGGAAAGCGGAGGGACCGGTATCAAGAATACAAGCTTGTACATCTAAACGGCTTGTTAAAGCTGTGCGAGACCTGTACCAAGACGTGTTCAAACACTCTGTTCGAGACCTAATCAAGACCTGTTCGAGACCTGATCAAAACCTGATCAAGACGTGTTCGAGACCTGTTCGAGACCTAATCAAGACCTGTTCGAGACCTGATCAAAACCTGTTCAAGACCTGATCAAGACCTGATCATGACATGTTCTAGACCTGATCTAAAGGTGTTCAAAGATTGATCGTATACCTACAGTTTACGATGAATAAAGATTTGAAAAGACAACTTATAACCAAACGGAGAAACATCCAAAGTAAATTGAGACAACTCAAACAAGAACAAATAATTCAAGAAGATTTATTCATCGTAAAATGTAGGTATGCGATCAATCTTTGAACGCCTTTAATCAATTCTCGAACAGATCATGATCAGGTCTTGAACAGGTCTTGAACAGGTCTTGAACAGGTTTTGAACAGGTTTCAAACAGGTCTTGATCAGGTCTCGAACAGGTCTTGATCAGGCCTTGAACAGGTTTTGATCAGGTCTCGAACAGGTTTTGAACAGCTTTAACAAAACCGTTTAGATGTTACAAGCTTAGTGTCCTTCTGGTATTGTGTTTGCGTTTGTTTTTTATGTTAGCGTGTTCCCCGTCCCCTCCGCTTTCCAACGATACCTTACACATCACGATCCGATGAGCCGTCGCGCCTTCACCAAAAAAGCGTCAAAAATGACCAGAATCGCCCTTAGAATTTCTTATGGAGATTTACATGGGAAAATGACCTGTTTTGCGCTAGAAGCCCTGCTGCCCTTTTACTCACTGTAATGACTATAGATTAATCAGCTTTATGTGAATAATAAAGCGCGAAGCAGATATAAGTAATAGACAGTTTGGCTCTCGTAACGGAAAAGTGGAAGCTCTGTATAGTTTCACAAATCTTGCCCAAAAATGTCGCAACCAACAAAAAGATCTCTTCGTTGCGTTTATAGACTATAAAAAAGCTTTTGACAAAGTTATACATAACATTCTCATGGAATGTCGCAACATTCGAGAAAACGACTCAACAAAAATGACATTAACCTAGTGAGAAATCTCTATTGAATAATAAAGCATTAAGAACAGGGAATACATCGAGCAAAAAGACAAAAGAGGGAATGTAAAGGTAGTGGGGGCAAAAATATTGTTAGACAGGAAGTGCCATCTTGAGAGGCCACATTAAACAAGGAAAGAGAGTCGTTCTTTGTTTAAGAAATCAAATTTAGTTGGGTTATGTTATTTTTTGTCCCAACTGTCACATGAAATCTTATTTATAATGAAGTTTATTAACAATTATGTCGCATTTTAGACTTTTGTCGTTTATATTTATTTAAAGTTTCTCATCTAAGACACATTCTGAAAACTATTTTATAGCTACTGTTAATAAGTGTCGAAAAATTTTAATTTGACGCATTCGCATTTCCGGATATGTCCGCCATTAGAGGCCACTTTTGTGGTCTCATTTTCATAACGATTAGATTCCCTCTTTTGTCTTTTTGCTCGATGGTTAAATCTCATCTTAGATTGAAAACATAATATTATCTGTATTGGCTAAAAGTCTTTAAAATATAAATGCCGATTATAAAGTAAATTTTCTAATATTCAACTAACCTGAAAGAAGATATTATCTAACGCGATGGTTAAAAATCATGAAACTATTATGTAAAACGTTCAATTGCAACCTTAGCTTTTTTTAAACTGCCAATGTCCAAGTACTGTAAAATATACAATTATTCTTACCTCTGGATCTGCTTTGTGTAAACAAAAGTTTAAATTGGATGCCTTTTCGCACAAATTTGCTCCATCTGGAAATGAAAGGGAAAAATAGTATTTGAGAGAAAAATAATGCAAGTTAATATTTGAAAAATTTCGTAATATTGAAAATTAATTAAACATTTTTAAAGTTTTTACATGATAAAAATGTTCGTTTAGTTTTCTGAATAATTCGCATATTGAAAAATATTTTTTTGTAATTGCGTTCGGTTTTTTTGCTTTAAATTGCTCAGATGTTGTTTACGTGCTGTATCGGATATTCATGAAATTATGAACATTGTTTAATTAATATTGAGTTTGAAATTTATTCCAATCAATGCTTTTAATATACTCTTGTTTGTTAATTTTTTACCGCTTTTTATCTAGTTTAAATAGGATATACGTATTAAAAATACACAAACAATGGTATTAAATGAACTGGCTTCCCACGGTGACACTAGACTGTCCGCCTACTTATTCAGTTTTTATCTCCTAAATGTCCAAAAGGTAAAGGTCAATATGCCAATATTGATCATATAGTTAACAACCAACGTGATAACAAGTAAACTGAATGTAATTATAACATTAGAAGAAGAACAACATGGTTGCTCTCAACGGCTAAAAACGATCGAAAATATTTACCAAAACAACACAATGAAAGTAAAAGTGGAAGAAAAACTTCTTCCGTTCCGGATAGGCACCGTAATAGGCAATAATTTTAAATAGGGAATAGACAAGGTGTGCGATATCATTAAACAAATATTTCGCTAATTAACCCCCTCTGTGGCTCAGTGGTAAGAGCGCCTATTTTTGAACCTAAAGGTCATGAGTTCGAATCTCATCTGGGTGGAGAAATTTTCGTTTATTAAAAATTAATAAATGAACATAATTTCTATCCTTGTGCGATCGGTACTCACCGGAGGGACCGCAGACGTTCGGATACAATTAGCGTCTCTTAGCAAAGACAATGACGTCGACTTTGCTAAGTATCAAGACAATTACTTTACACACACACACTACACTCTACACTAGGTACCTGACTGTAAAAATTCACTGTACCATGCCAATGACCATTAGTAGTCGACGCATTAAACTCATAAAAAAAATATTTTGCTAAATATATCAATTTATTAAGAGTGTTATACCTTTTAAAAAATAAACGTACGCCTATATTTTGCTAATGTATATGACAATTTCTTTCCGTCACACTATAAATGAAAAGTATGCAAGAAAAACAACGAAATTTTTTAATCATCTTCATTAAGATAAGCAACTTTCTCATTCATACCCATTAAAACTAATTAACATTTAGATACAAAAAAATGATATTTTTTTATTTATTTATTATTTTTGTTATAATTATAATTGTAAAATAACACGTTTTTTTTAATGCTTACCTTCAATCGTCCTACATTTGTTAATTGCGGTAACCAAAAGATCTTTAACTTTTGGATGAGCAGTATTAATGATAAAATCATATTGGATCGCACCGTCAGGAGCCATCTGAAAAAATTTTTATTTATTAAAGAAAAAATAACAGCACAAAAACACTTTTAGGCTAGTCCATAGTAACCTGCTTCAGGATCTCGATAGGGATATCTGGAGGCAGGGCTTTAAGATTGTCTCTACCGAACTGAAAGGGAAAAAGACACCCTACCCCCTGCCTGAGGAGAAGAGACTCCGTTTAATACGAGACCTTTTTCCTAGGTGGAGGATAGGCGTGAAAGGGTTATTAGTTTTAAGATGGCGTCCGATAGTCAAGTCGCAGTTTTAACAGCGGAACTAAATAAACTAAAAAAGCAGGAATTAATTGACATATTAGTGAATTTAAAGTTACCACTGTCCGGTTCTAATCCTCAGTTATCAGAATACGTTAATAAATTAACACAAACAGTGCAAAAAGGTATTAAAGCTTTCAATGTCGAACATAACCTAGACGTTATTGTGTGTGAACAGTGTATAAAGACCAACAAGGAACTTACTACAATAAAAAGTGAACTCGCAGCAGTAAGTAAACTATCATTCCATCTAGAAAAACGTACGGAAGAGCAACAAGATTTAATTTCTTTATTAAAAGATAAATATAATAAAAATTCAGCCATGTCCATTCCTACGTCATCAAGCGAAAAATCTGTAAATAAATCAGGCCCGACCAACTCAGGTTCTATCAGTCAAGAACCCATTAAAATGTCATTAAACAAAAACACAAGTCTACCTCATTCATACATGAGTGATAAACAAAAAGAAAATAAAAACAATCTAAAAACAGGACACTCATCTTGGAATACCCAACCAAAAAAAGAAAACAAATACAAACCGATAATTGGAAACAACGAATCGTCTACTGTAAACACTATTCCTAGACAAGGCCATGTACATGTGTCCCGCATTGGTGTTGATATGAAAGCCGATGATCTTCTAAAATTTTTGGGTGAGACGGTACCCGATATTACTTTTAACTGCGTCGAATGGCATAGAACTGACAAATATTCCACATATAAGGTATCTTTCCCTTTCGATAAAATTGACGAAGTCTACAGTCCTAATATTTGGCCCAATGGAGCTGCCGTTAGGAGATTTAACTTCAACAGAAATTTTCAGCACAAAAAGAAGACGGAGGAAGAAACCTAGAAGCTTCTACAAACTTTCATCAAAATAAACAAATTCGAAAAGGTACGGTAAGCATGTTTCATGTTAATTTGCAGTGTATTTCAAATAAAGTCGATATGATCAATGCTTATCTTGCGGATCAAAAATTATATGACGTCATATGTTTTTCGGAGCACTGGCTAAGTGAAGAAAATTTAAAATTAATTAACATCTCCGGATTCTCATTAGCTAATTTCTTTTGTAGGGTAAAAAAAGAAACAAGGCGGAGTTGCAATTTATGTAAAAGAAAATCTTATGTATTCTTCTCTTAATTTAAATGAATATAATGTAGAGCAAAGTTCTGAGTTTTGTGCAATTTATGTACCTTCAATAAAAACCAATATTTTAACTGTATACAGATCGGGTAAGGGTGACTTTGACTTATTTTTGGTGAATTTTGAAAATGTCATAACATCCTTGCTTAGTAAAGCTGACAAACTAATCATACTTGGAGATTTTAATATAAATTTTAAAATTGAATCTGACCATTTTTTTGATATTCAAAATCTATTAACATCTTTTGGTCTAAAAATAACTATAAACGATTATACTAGAATCACATCCCAGTCCAGAAGTTGCATTGACAACATTATGACAAATTTTTCTGAAAATATCTATAGAGTGGGCGTATTTGAACCTTGTTTTTCTGACCATCGAGCTCAATTTTTATTTATTGACTCAGAGCATAAAGTTATTGACACTAATCAAACATTTCAACGGTTTATTACTTCTTCTGGTTTACAGAAGCTTAAACGTGCGCTAGCTATTACAAACATGGACTTTTTCTACGATATTAATAATGATCCTGATTCTTTGACAGTCTTTCTTACCGAAACTTATAACAATTTAATATTACAGTATTTTCCACTAAAAAAAGTACGACAAATGACTGAAAAAACACCTGTGCAATGGTTTAATAATGAATTAAGGTCTAACAGATCTAATATTTCTCTTATCAAACACATTGCAGAGGCCACTAAGGATCCCGATTTGTTCAAAGTATATAAACAACAAAAAGTTGAATATAATCGGCAATTAAAAATTGCTAAAAAGTCAGCTTACTGTAATTTTATTACTAATTCCAATAATAAACCTAGAGACTGCTGGAAAATAGTAAATTTCGAAAGAAACTACACTAAATCCAGTTCGGTACAACCTGATCTACCTCCAGACGAAATGAATCAATTTTTTAGTACAATTGCAGAGAATATAATTACATCTCTTCCCACTATTAACGTCGATGTCCTCGTCAATTATAGAAATTATCCTTCTCCGAGCAAGTCATTTTTTTTTCGGCCCGTTCTGGAAGAAGAGGTCTCTCAAATAATAAAGTCGCTTAGTAATTCTAATTGTAGGGACGTTCACGAGATTAATAGCAAAATTTTAAAAGAAACTTACCAAATAGTTTTAACACCTTTTACTCATCTTATTAATTTAATTCTATCCACCGGAGTATTTCCAGAAGTACTAAAATACTCAAAAGTACTACCAATCTACAAAAAAGATGATTCCTCAAAAACTGACAATTACAGACCCATAAGCATTGTTTCTACTTTTGGGAAAGTGGTTGAAAAGGTTATCAAACAACAATTTTATTCCTATTTTGAGTCAAAACTTTAGCAACTCACAATATGGATTTAGAAGTGCTCGTTCTACTACGTCGCGGTATTTAATGTTTAAGGACCTCTTTTGTTTATTACTTATGTCAACGATCTGCCTAAATTCATATCTCCGTACAAAACCATACAATTCGCAGATGATACGACATACGTTATATCAGGAAGAAATAATGATGATTTAAAAATGTCTCATGAGGAAGTTTCTACTAAATCTAACTCATGGTTTGCTGCAAACAAACTAAAACTTAACTCTAATAAAACGCAAAATATGGTTATATCTGCAAGTAATTTCCACAATGATCTAGTTAACAAAGAGACTGTTAAACTATTGGGAATAACCATAGATAATCGACTCAACTGGTCTGCTCATATCTCACACCTTAAGAAACAGCTATCAAGTTCATTATTTGTTATTCGCCAACTAGCAAGGGTTGTCAACTTTGAAACATTAAAAATGACATATTTTTCTTTATTCCACTCTCACCTAAACTATGGTTTAATTATATGGGGCAATTCAACAAATGCACTTCAAATTTTTAGAATACAAAAGAAAGCTGTCAGGATTTTAGCAAGGGTTAGTTATCTAGAACACTGCCGACCTTTCTTTATCAAATTCAAAATTATGCCGCTACCTACTCTGTTGATAATTCAAGTTTTAACTCAAATTCACAGAAAACGTGCCCATTTAATAAAGCAGTCTGATGTCCATGTTCACAATACGCGAAACTGTCACTACCTACGAACAAATCGCTGTAGATTAAGTCTTTCGGAAAAAAATAATCTTAATTATAACTATTACAATATTTTACCAAAAAGTATAAAAGAGCTAAGCTGTAATAGTTTCGATAAAGTTATAAAAAAATATCTTTTAAAACATTGTTTTTACTGCTCAGAAGAATATATGACTCATTGCAGAACATCCACTGAACTGCTTACCGTAACTTTGCCATAAATATTTTTCTGTTTAATATGTTTTCATGTTTGTGTTATTTAATGTTTTATTATTTAATACTATGTATGTTTTTTTTTTTGACCAAGCAAAGAGCTTATTCCCGATCTAAGACAGTGATGAGAATGTAAGTTCAGGAAACTAGACTACTTCCTGACGCAGTTTCTGACCGGACATGGTAGTTTTGGCACTTTCACAAATAGAATAGGCAAATCTGCCTCGGCAGACTGTACTCTTTTTCAACTCTTGCCCACATTTTTAACTGCCAGAGATGGGCAAATCAGAGGGGAGATGTCGAGAGGTGAATGGGTTTCGGGCTGGATGAAAGAAACATTATAAACATAATTTTGAGAGAAGAACAAAAATGGAGAGAAGTACACTGTCTGATTTCTGGGGTGATGAAGAAAAAAGGGCAGGAGGACAGAGGAGAAATTGAGCCAGGGATCTGAAATTTATGGTTAATATTATTTATTAGTTTATGGCCTAACGTCTGAAACATTTTCTGATTTACTGTAATAGGTATGGTTATTTATAAATTTTTAGTTTTTTATATTTCAGTTATTTATTGAGTGGCGAGACCACCTCTCTGGAACGGTAGTTAAGGTTTTAGCCGGAACACGGTTAATCCGGCGTACCCTGGGATCTTCTGGCTTAGTATCCTCTCATTCGAAAGATGCCAGAATGTCTTGTTCCGTGACGTAGATGTCCAAAAAATATTTCCTTCATCGTTGCCTGTCAGAATTCAATGGATACCTTCTTAGGCTCTTATTTGAATCTGGCAATACGGCAATTAAAAAAAAGGTTAGTTCATAACATTGTCCAAATAAATCTACAATTTATTTAGGGTTGGTAGTAAGACATGGTGGCCAAATAATGGTTTTTGTCTTATTTGTAAAACTCTTTCAGTATCTTTGTTATTGATGAAGTAAGACTCATTGAGTATGAGGTTCTTGAGATCGCCTAAGTGTCCTCTTTTTTTAGTTAGCGTATGGTACTCTTCCAAAGAAACACCCTGTACAATAAGAATATATGTTCTAGAAATAGTCGCGCGATAACTCAAAATTCCGAAGATCACCAACGACAAAAATAATAGAAACGGCGAGAAGAACATTCGACGTCTTGGCGGGGAAAAAGAGTTTTGAATTCGCTGCAGAACCGCATTTAGAAATGACACAGCAATATTCTTTGAGATTAATATAAGTATTATTACAACTTACCCATTTTGCTTCCAACATAAGGCACTTCATGTAACACTAAATAAAAACAGAATCAATTAATTCGATCAAAAAATCACACAAATAAAAAATATTACCATAAGTTTTGGATCATGAGGATTATTTTCTATATCATACGCTGCATGGTCACCTAAAAATATATAATCATATGAAGGGATATTATTAAGTATTTGTTCGAAATTATATATAGGATAGGCGAAAAAGTATTTTTTAAAAATTATCACAAAATGTGTGAGTAATTACTTGTCCAGCATTGTGTCTGAGTATACTGTATCTTACTAATAGTTATCCACAAAATTAGACTTTTATTCAAAAATTCGGTGCGAGTCTTTTATCCTTTCTAATTAAAGTTTATAGATGCATAAATAATTCAATGGAAACGCTTTTATTAACCTATAATGACATCTTCTCTTACAAAAATAAAAAAAGTATTTCTTAAAAAGTACATAGTGCCTATTTTAGTACATAGTAAAACTAGTCAGATCCTCTGAGAAAACAATCACATTATGAAGCATTGAACAACTCATTTCAGCACGCTTCGATAATTTTAAAGTATCCTCATTAGCAATGACAGACTCTTCATTTGTTTCTGCAAACTTGTATTTGGTAAATGTATGTAAAATACTGCATCATAATCTCCTAGATAGACAGCAATAATCTTAAAGCATTGTCATTTGGTATCATTATTGATTCAGTGCCTTGCAGTAAGTTACCGTCTCTTCTTCTTGGACAATAACCTCCTCCTCGAAAAAGAATTATACATAGGCACTTATATCTTGAATGGGATGATCGGCTTTTTTGGAGTTCTTATTTTTCTTTTTTGGAACCATAGTAGCAAAAAAGTATTTTTTTGTTTTCTGTTTTGGGCATTTTTGTTTTTCCAAAACCTGTGTTGCCTTTTCAGCTAGTTGTTTATCCTTATCCTTTTTAGCTTCATTCTTTTCCAAACACTCTTAAGTAAGTGTTGAAGTCAGCACCTCAATCCTTTTTTATCCTTTGATGTTCACGATTTCCATAAAAGTGTGCTAAAGTTTAAGTTATTTAAGAAACTCTGTACTTACCTTCTGTAATACCGGCTTTTGCTATACAAATATTGTGAAGATCTTTGACGTATTCTTGAAGTTCTGGAGGAAGCTCAACCTGTAAAGATAGAACAAATTTAACCAAAAACGTTCGCAGAGCTTAAGTATATTGGATGATATTTTCTGTAATAGATCTATGGTGTTTTCTATAATTTACTGTTATGTTTATACTCCAGTTTTGGCCTTGTTTCGGTACACTTCGGTAAACTTCGCTTGTATGTTCCGAAAGTAACAGATGCTTGGCTCGCTTGGTGTTTGTTTGAGTGGTAATTTAACTGTGCTTATACTTTGTTAATATTCTTGTGACTATATGCGTGTTTTATGTTAAAATAATGACAAGAAAGGAAGCCAGTGCCAGCGAATTTAGAAGGTAAGTTATTACGGGTAATTTTTACAATGTTGTATACATAGATTATTCATTTTTTAAAATGACTTATGAAGAGCAACAGTACTTGCAACAGAAAAGAAAAGTTTCGCAAAGCAAACCAATTCGTGATAAAGCTTCTGGCGTAGAGGACGTTTTTACTGATATCAAAAATAATATTGAAATTAATACCGACGACAATACCAATAGTCATGAAGATTTTGACTATTTTCAAGGAAGTTCTTCCCAAAGTGATGTTCTGGTTACAAAAGATAAAACTATTTGGACAATGACAACGTTTTACTGCAAGTCAAACAGTAAAACATAACAGTTTGTGTGAAAAGGAGGGCTCAGTATGTTCTATTAAAATTCTTTCTTTTAGAGATACATTTAAATGTGTTTTAACTGTCGTAATGTGTGACATAATTATTATAAGCGAAACCATTTGAAAAGCTGATGACGTTTCAAAAAAGTATAATGCTGAATTAAACAAAATTTACAAAACAGTCATCAGACCAATAATGACATACACGGCAAAAACACGAGCTGACACAGAGAGGATAAAAAGAATGTTTCAAAAAGCACAGATGAAAACACTTTAAGACAGAGCTAGAAGTACAGATATGTGACGTAAATTTAAAATGGAGAAGATTAAGAACTGGGTAAGAAATAGAAGAGTAGAATAAAACGATCATACAAGCTGAGTGATAACAAAAAATAGAGTAGAAAAGATGACAAGAGACGGTTTCCCAATAGGAAAAAGATCAGTAATAAAACCACCAAAATAATGAAACGACAACTTACTGAAATCACATTGAAAAACAGACAGAGTCATGTCTACATAAAAAGCAGCCCAGCAACATTCGAAATAACCAATATACTGAGATATATTCTTTCCAAAACCAAACACATAAGAGGGATCAAAGGACTGCTTCTATAAACTACTCAGTAAATGCAACGATTTTTATGTGGAAGAAACTGCTAGATCCCTTAGTGTAAGTATAAATGAGCATGAAACATATATCAAAAACAGGGTGTTCTACAAATCGCAAACATGCAAATATGCAGATGGTATGAGAGTTGTGCATCGGATTCTTAAGAATTAGTTGTAAGAACAAACAGGATAAAATAATAGTAACAGTAACACGCAATGAAAATCACCAGAATTGCATCTGTCTATACAACAATCAAAGACAGTTGATGCTTTACTCTCAACACCTTGTCTGACGCTGGTAAAAACTGGTAGTTCTTTTAATTTTAGACTTTCAACTAATTTTAAAAAGTTTCTCAATCATTTAATATTTTCATTGTACATTTGTACATTTCATAATACAAAAATATCAATGTAAAGAAAAGTGTGTTAATAATAAATAGAAGCAACAGAGAAATGTGTATTCTTAATATTAAAAAACGTAAAATAGGGTATCCAAGCAAACCTAGTCAAGGATCATAATGTAATTTTTCTGATTTCAAAGAAGAAGTACTGAACAGGTGGCAGGAATACTTTAGTACGCTACTTAATGAAGAAAGTAAAGCTGAAGGTAGAGATAATATAGAACTAGAACAGGAGAAAACTGAGCTACCAACTTAACCAGAAACTCTAACCAGAAACAAGTCTCTCGGAGCAGTTAACCTACCCGCAGAAATATTTAAATGTGGCGGTCAAACATTTGTACCCTTCTTTCACAAATTATTAATAGAGGTAGTAAGGCAAGAATGCGCTTTACCAGAAGATTAGAATACTGGAATTATATGCTTTACACACAAAAAAATACAACACTAACTGTTCCAACTTTAGAGGGAATTCCCTTCTTAATGCGACAACTAATTTTTGTCCCTGATACTTAACAATCGATTAGCACAGCATACTGATAATAAGAGACTAATACTAAAGAGAAAGGTATGGGTTCTGAAAAGTGGGGTCCCTATGACCTGTTCTATAGTGGAGTAACTAAGATAAGGTTGATCAACTGCTTAATATTCCCAATACTGACCTACGGATGTGAATCTTGGACTCTGAGACAATCGGAGAGAAGAAAGATAGACGCCACTAAAATGTTCTGTTGGAGACGAGTGTTACGAATTTCTTGGACCGACCGTAGAACAAATAATTCAATTTTAAGAGAGCTAAAAGTTAGCCAACGACTCTCTAGTAAAGTCCATCTCCAACAATTAAAATATTTTGGGCATGTTATGAGAGCAAACACAGAAAACATGGAAAGACTCATAATACAAGGAAAGGTAGAAGGCCGAAGATCACGAGGAAGATCCCCAACAAGATGGATAGATCAAATTACAGGAATATGCCAAAGACCTATGCATGAATTAAAAGAAATGACCAGAGACAGAGATCTTTGGAGACGGACAATACAAGACATTACGTCGACAACTACACTCCCCCTGGGGGGTCAGGATTGAAGAGAGAGAACTAAAGACCAAAGAGTACAACAAGGTGTTGCTATTGTTATTTCGCAAAACTTTAAGAAGACAGATTACCTCTTGGGAAGCAATTAATCAAATATTGATAAAAATGAACATCACAATAAAAGGAAGCAAAATAGCCATACTAGGTGTATATGGAATTAAAGAGGACGCATTGGTCAACAGTAAAGATGCATTTTTCGAACAACTGAACGATGAAATTATAAAAGTAGGAACATCTAGGGAAATCATACTTCTAGGAGACTTCAACAGCAGAGTTGGATGGAAATTGAACAACAAAGTGGTAGGAACACACGGTGAAAATACCAGAAATGATAATGGAACCAGATTAATAACAACATGCACACAAAATAACTTTAAAATATTAAATGGATTTTATCCACATCGCGATATACACAAATACACGTGGATACAACAGACCAGAAATCTGAAATCTATAATAGATTATAGCATTGTAAGACAGAAAACTACAATTAAAATACAAGATGTGCGAGTAGCCAGAGGGCCATCATGTGGCACCGATCATCATCTGCTAAAAGTTAAAACGGTACTCCCAAACAGATACGAAAAAGAAAAAGAGCACATCGAGTCAAATCAGTTAATAAAACAAGTACGGTACAACCTAGACAGTTTAAACCATGAGAGTGTAAAGCTACTGTATAAAAAACGATTAGACCAAAAATTAGAAATGGGTAGTTTTGAAAATACCGAAGAACACTACGAACACATCAAAAGGTCGATTCATTTAGCAGCAGAAGAAGCACTGGGAAATGTGACGAAAATCATAAAGGAATAAAACCGTACTGGTGGGATGAAGAAATAGAGAAGGAAATTAAAGATAAACGTCGGAAATACCAAACATTTTTAACAACAAAAACAGAAAACGATAAAACAATTTACAAAGAAGCACAATCCAAAGTAAGAAAAAAGATAATTCAAAAAAAGAACGAATCATGGGAAAATAACTGCCAAAAGATCAACACCTACATAGGAGGTAGAAGAAGCACAGAGAGTTGGAGATTGATTAAAAGTATGAGAAATAATAAGAAAAAAGACGTTATAAAAAGACTTAAACAGAACAAAGACCAGAATTTGCTAACATGGAAGACAACAAGATAGGTATACGTATAAATTATATTCGATAAACCAAAAGGACTGATAGAATTATTTAAAATAACAATAAGGAAAATTTAATGCAAAGTGCGGGTACAAGGGAATCTTTCAGAACCATTTACAACTAAGGGAGTTACTACAACTATCATGCACGCTGTAAAGCTTAGCGTTAGAAAAAGTTATGGAAATAAATATAATAATTCAGGAATAAATGTGATAATAACGGTTAAGGTAGGTGGTTCGGAAAAAATATTCGAGAAAAAAAATATATAATGTACTATAGCTGCCACCCAACAGAGTCTAAACTTGGAACAGGATTCATACTCAGCAGCAGAGTGAAGCAGCTAGTAATAAACTTTAAATCCATAAGCGACAGAATATGCAAAATAAGAATTAGGGAAAAATTTTTCAAATACTCAGTAATTAATGCCCATGCACCCACAGAAGATAAGCTAGACGAAGAAAAGATGAATTTTACGAAAAACTGGAAGAAATAATACGGAACTGCCCTAGAAATGATATAAAAATACTACTTGGAGATTTCAACGCCAAAATAGAAAAATAAAACGATTATCTACCCACCATTGCAAAATGTATCCTGCATAACGAGTCGAATAACAATGGAACACGTTTAATACACCTTGCGGCCTCAATGGATATGGTGATAGCCAGCATATGCTTTAAGCGTAAAAATATACACAAATGCACTTGGGTTAGTCCAGACGGTAACACAATAAGTAAAATTGACCATGTTGTTATAGACGCAAGACAATACAGCGATGTTATGAATGAACGTACCAGACGTGGAGCAAACATTGACTTCAATCACTACCTGGTCCAGGCTAAACTAAGGGCACAAATCTCTAACGCAAAAAAAGGTAAAGGAAGCATAGAAGATACATTCGATGTGGACAGACTACGAAACCCTGAGATAGTTAGAAAATTTTAACACAAACTTAAAGAAAAACTAAAAGACCAAATGAGTAGTACTGTTGAAAACATAAATAATTACTGGAATGAGTGCAAAAGTATCCTGAAAGAAGTAGCAATAGCAGTTTAAGGAAAGAAGAAATAATAAAGGAAGGGGACAGAATGGTATGATGCGGAATGCGCACAGGCAACTCAAAAAAAGAAACAGGCGTATGAAAAAGTCCAAAACAGAAGGACAAGACAGAACAAGACAAAAATCAAGAGGAGTACCAACAGATGAGACAAGCAGAGAAAAAGATACTTAAACAAAAGAAAAAATGACATTTAGAAAGCCAGTTGCCAGAAAAAAAATTTATAAAAATGAGAACCAGAACAGAAAATAATTTAAACCTAGAATAACGATAATAAAAAGTAAGGAAGCCGAAATTATCAATGAGCCGGATCAAATAGTGGAGAGATTGTTGGAGAATTTTGTTGAGAAATTAAATATAGGCAACCGAGAAGTAACTGACATAAATGACCACAGTAGAGACGTAGACGATGAGAGGGAGAAAAATAATATACCAACAGAAGAAGAAATTGCCAAATAAATTAAATATAAAAAATACATAATAGAACTTGTATTCATTTTGAGAGAAGAAAAACTCCCAGGCAGTTAAAATATGGGTATTATAATACCTATTCATAAGAAAGGGATCCACTAATATGTGACAACTATCGAGGCATTACCGTCCTAAATACGGCTTACAACATACTGGCTTATATATACTTTATGATCGTTTACTAGTATATACTGAGGAAAAAATAGGCAAATACCAATGTGGATTCCGAAAAGAAAGGTCAACAATTGATCAGATTTTCCTTCTTAGACAAACCTTAAAAAAGGCATATGAATATGGAATTAATACCCATCACCTCTTTAAATATTTTAAAAGCGCTTATGACAGTGTAGACAGAAGCGCACTTTATAATGCCATGGCAGAACTAGATATTCCGTCACATCTAATAACACTGGTAAAGGCAACTCTTTTCAAATACATACTGGATTACGCCAGGGAGACAGTCTATCGTGCCTTTTGTTTAACATCGCGCTAGAAAGAGCCATAGAGAAATCGGGCATACCAACCAGAGAAACGATCATCAATAGAAGTGTACAGATATTGGCCTACGCAGATGACATTGACATAGTAACACGAACAAAAAGAGACCTGATACAGGCTTTTGAAACATTAGAAAAAGCAGTTTGCTGCGAAGACAATGGGACTGCAGGTCAACGTATAAAAAAACAAAATACATGAAGGTCACGACCAACACACAAATAGCGGCACCACAAGATCTGGTGATAGAAGCACACACATTCGAAGGGGTCTCGGAGTTTATATATCTTGGAACACAACTAAATAACAGCAACCTAGTAAGTGTAGAAATTAAGGGAAGAATATACCTGGCGAACAGAGCTTACTTTGGACTAAAGCAGTTCTTAACATCACACATAATTAGCAGAAAAACCAAGATACTAATATATGAAACTCTTATTAAACCTGTCCTGACATACGCTTCAGAGACATGGACTATGGTAAAAAGCGACAAGGAACTGTTAGGCCGCTTTGAAAGAAGAATGCTTTGGCACATATACGGAGGAGAACAAGTAAGCGGGATATGGCGCAGGCGCTACAATTTTGAGTTGTATCAATGCTATGAAAAATGCAACATTGTCCGGTCCATTAAAATTAATACACTAAGGTGGCTAGGACACCTTGAAAGAATGGACACTGGAGACCCCCAAAAACAGATATTATATCAAGAGCCAGTAGAAACCAGGAAGAGAGGCAGGCCAAGATCTAGATTTAAAACTCAAGTCGAAGATGACTTGAGGAATCTAGGGATCAGAAATTGGAAAGCCAGGGCGAAAGATAGGGCAGAATGGAGACTAATTCTTGAAACAGGCCAGGACCCATTCGGGGTTGAAAAGCCAAAGATGATGATGATGATGAAACTAAATGTGTACTGATTATATAAAGTGGATACAAAACTAATACATCCAAGGAAATAAGAAAAAGAATATTCGTGCCTAACTGCTGTTATTTGGCATTACCATCCATTAAGAGCAAGAAATATGTCACGAGTAGCAAAGTACTTTATAAAACAGTAGTACACTTAGTGCTTACTTAAAAATTAGAAACATGGACTATAACGACCCGAGAAGAGAGAGGAGTTTTTCATCAACTATGAATCTTTGAAAGAATAGTATTGAGGACCTTATATGGCGAAGTTAACGAACAGGCTCTGTGGAAAAGTTGATATATAATTTAGTGTGGATGAAAGTAATCCTTCTAAAACAATGATGTTAAATAGACAGTTTAAAAAAAAGGTGGGGGTGACCTAAAGTCAGGTATCTAGACGATCTACAGAACGATTTAAGGGAGATTATAATAAGAGGAATGAAAAGACAGATACTCGACAGGGAAGGTGAAAAAATGTTTAAGGTTGGCCAGGACTCACTACGGCTGTAGCGCCAACTGATGACGATGATAATGAAATTAGGTTATCTCAAACACAAGACCCATGCAAAAATAATCCATGTAAAAAGAAAAGGTCGAGGCTAAGAAAATCTTTTTTACTAATAAACGCATAAGATGAAGATTAGATTCTTTAATGATGATTATTTTTAGTATTCAAGAGGAAATCCAAAGAAGAAAATAGATTACATATGCAATGATGTTATCAATTGAGGAGCACTTAAATTAAGTTTGTTATTTTGAGTTTAAAAACAGTTTATAATAGAAAATAAGGCTAGAAACACTAAAATAATATAAATAATAATAAATTATCCATGTCAAAATCACTTACACGACCAGCCACCAGCACAACCAGCGCAAAAAAACAACCTAGCGTTTTAAACATTATTTCAGATATTTTTAATTTAAACTAACTAGTGAGTCGATAGATGCATCTGTCTTCTTAAATATAAACGTACAGGATATATCAATCTATGACACAAACTAATAATTCTCAATTAAAAACTTTTAATAACATCCTATACTACCAATTAATAAGGTACTCTATTATAAATATTAATTACAAATCCTCTTACATGATGAGATGTATGATATAGATTTGATTGACAGTTTGAATTTTTATTTACGTATTGAAAAGACATGAATTGCTGATGATTATATTCAATTAGAAAAAAATTGAAGTTTCTGTGATATGCCTCGTCGATTGTCACGGGGTATGATGAATGGGATAACCACTCATTGTTTTTAACGTATTATTAACAAGGAGTCATTGACGGTTTTAATACATTTAACAACCTTGTTTGTTCACAAAGTGAAATATTTAATTAATACCACTCCTCTGATATTATGCATTTGTTTTAACCTAAAAGATTCTCAAAAATTAATATAAAATACGACGTAATTCCGAATAAGAATTTTTTTTAAATTTTGGTTAATTAATAATAATCTATATTTCATCTAATTTTATTTATAAATAATATTTTCCGTTTTGTTCTAATAACTTCTTTTCGTCTATTAGCAACAAAAGAAAAAGTAATAACAATAATTTAATAGTGTAACAATAGTACATTGTTTACCGGGTAGCAAAAGCTTAACATTCCTGGACGACTGTGAAGATTGCTAAGTCGAGGCGCAAGCCGAGACTTAGCAACACAGAGTCCAGGAATGTGGCTTTTCCTACGAGGTAAACATACTATTTTTCCGCAAATCGTTTAAAATTCGACAGATATTGATTGATTTAAAAAAAAACGCGATAATTTTATTCCCAAATAAATGGTGCTTTGAAATTCCTAATAAAATTACTTGGGTTACTATGGAAACGTATTGAGGTTGAATTGTCAAACTTGACGCTTATAAATTTAATTGCTGGTGTTCTCGAAAGTAAAATGATAAGTGATGATGAAATTTCCATTCCTGGGACTCCTCCAGAGCTGGTTGAGGCAGTGAATACTGCTTCATTAGAATTATTGCCAAAGAAATCAAGAGAAAAGTACGAAAATGCATACAGACGTTTTATGGATTATCGCATGAGTAAAAATACGAGTTCTTTCTCAGAAAATGTTGTAATGGCATACTTCCTAGACCTTTGTTTAAAGATGAAATCTTCAACATTATGGGCCAATTATTCAATGCTGAAGTCAACCCTTGCACTTAAACACAATGTAGATATATCTACATACTCAAAACTTCGTTCTTTATTGAAACGGCAAGCTCAAGGTTATAGGGCAAAGAAATCTAAGATTTTAACGAAGGAAGAAATTGAAAAATTTATCCAGGAAGCTCCAGATAAAGAAAATTTAATGATTAAGGTAATTTACAAGGTTTTAATTTCTATTTAGATTATAGCTTTATTTATTTTTTAGGTGGCTGTAATATTTGGTATTTCTGGGGCCTGTAGAATGGATGAGTTAGTCCGAATGACTGTACACGATATAGAAGACTTAGAATCTAAGCTTTTAATCAGCATACCTGATTCGAAAACCAACAAACCAAGATCATTTGTAATTAATCAGATCTACTTGAATGTTTATCGAAAGTATGTTTCGTTAAGACCAGAAAATATGAACAGTGACCGATTTTTCTTTAAATATCAAAGCGGAAAGGGTTGTAGACAAGTGGTAGGAATTCATCAATTTAGAAAAATGCCCAAAATAATTGCTACTTATTTGAACTTGGTAAATCCGACAGAATATACTGGTCACTGCTTTCGTCGGTCTTCTGCAACAATATTGGTTGACTCTGGTGCCGACATAACTAGTTTAAAGAGGCATGGCGGATGGAAGTCATCAAACGTTGCTGAAGGATATATCGAAGAATCGCTTAACAATAAGGTTGAGGTGGCAAATAAAATTTTCACAGTACAAAATATTCAACAAAATGACACTTCCACCCTGCATGTTGTCCAAAATGTTTCTCATAGTTCTAAGAGTGTTCCTCCAATGTTCAATAATTGTACTAACTGTCAAATTACTGTAAATATAACAAATTGATCTTAAAAATGTATTCAGCAATGACTTGATGTTTTCAAAATATAAATTAATTCCTTATAAGCAATGTGTTTTCTATCATTTATGTAGAACACTAACAACTGTACGGAAATATCATTTCCTATTGATTGAAATTTTTACCTATTGTTTATATCATCTGCAATTCCATATGTTGACTATTTTGCTGTGGAAATATGATTTGAGATCTGTCGCTGAAGTTTTTGGATAGAACTCAATAGTTGGGTCCTCTAAGGCTTATCGTGCATATTTATCCCGCAAATCGTTTTCCGTGATTCCAATATAAGATGGTACCCACAGGAAAGCAATATTTCTGTGATTTAGGTTGTGCAATTCTTGTCTAATGAGTTTGGCCACAGGATGGGAAGAATTGATTTTTAGATGATTTCTAGAGAACTTAGTAAGTTAGTAAATATTAAGAAGTTAGTTTCAGGACATTTTGTAACGTGACATATGGCTTTATATATTACAAAAAGTTCTCCTGTTGTAATAGTATTAGTCTCCTCTAGTTTATATTTCTTTATTTCATCCTTTGTTACAAAGGCAGATGCTACACAACGCTCTGTTTTAGATCCATCTGTGGGTAACTATTTGAATAAATAAAATTGAGAAATTAAGGTTTGATATTTAGAATTAATTAGATAACGATTGCTTTATTTCTTAATTTTTGATAATATATTCCAATTTATGTGAGGAGAAGATAATAGCCAAAGAAGGGAAGTTGGCATCTTTTAGGATAGATTTCGGGGACTTTAAGGTTTAATTCAATTATGATTCATCTGCATCTTTCGTAAAAGGGAATGTGGGTTTTTGCGTGCTGGATATTCGAACAGTATTGTGATATTGTAAAGAGTACCGCTTCGATGCATATGAGAGCAATAATTCCTGTCTTTTTAAATCTAATGGTAGTTCACCGAGTTCGGCCTGAAGACTTAAGATAGGGGTTGTTTTAAATGCACCGCTTATTATTCTAAGAGCGTTTTTTGAATGGTGTCTTAAACTTTTAGAGTTGTTGAAGCAGACGAGTAAGCATGGCATCCATAATCGATCTTGGAGCGGATCAGATTTTTCTATAGTATGAGTAGAGTTCTCTCCGTCTGCTCCCCAGTTCGTACCAGAAAGACATTTCAAGAGGTTTAGTCTTTTTTTACATACAGCTGATATATATTTGATGTGGTCCTTTCAGGATCAAGTATTAGACCTAGATATTTAATTGTATTTACATATTCAAGTGTCTGACCCCCAAGTTTTAAAATAGGTATTTTTTTATCTCTTTTGGTCTCTTTGAGAATATGATACAGCGAGTTTTGAAACAAATTGAAAACCACTCCTTTTAGACCATGCTCTAAATTTATCGAGTTGATCTTGTAGTAATTTGGCCATACTCTGTATATTGTTTCCATTTAAGAATAATATAAGATCATCCGCGTACAATCTCGCTTAAATGGGTTTGGTCATTGATTTGATTATATCGTTAATAGCTATAAGGAAAAGCGTCGGGCTGATTACCAAGCCTTGGGGTGTACCATTTTTTTGATATTTCACATTAGATAAAACTCTGTTTATTTTTACCTTGAATTTTCTGTTTAGGAAAAAATTTTTAATAAAAGCATGTGTATTTTCTTTATAGCTCCATGATTCCAGTGTTGAAATTATCTTGTGATGCCTAGTCAAGCCATTTTTGGTTGTTGTGATGCTATTAATATGTGATTCTACATATATCTACTAAATTGTCGGTGGTCGATCTTAAAGGACAAAATCCAGATTGTTCACTAATCAGTTGGTTATTTTCTTTCAGACACAACAATAAACGTTTATTTATAATTTTTTCTAAAGCTTATACATTACACAAGTTAGAGACAATAGATGATATGAATCTGCTTTGTTTTGTGGCTTATTAGATTTTAATATGGGAATAGTTATGGCTGTTTTCTTTAATTAGAAAATTTATGTTTAGTCCATATACTATTATATATTTTTAATAATATTTCCACCGCATCGTCAAGTAGGTGTTTTAAAAAGCAGCTGGGATCTCATTGAGGCCAGGAGATGTGTCCTTTAAAGAATCTACCATCTCTCTTAGTTCTCTGATTGTAATAAGTGCATTTATAAGTCCATTATTATTTACTACGTATAGGATAGTTTCTTTTTGTTCATTGTATGTTAAGAAATCTTTCTCGTGGTTAGAATTTGTGGACTTTATCTTGAATTTTTCCGCTATTTTTTCTACGATTTCTGCATGGTTTGTTATTGACGATTTATTTTCTACTTCTAATGAAACGATTCCTTGATATGAGCTAGTGATGGTTATATTTTTTATTTTCCTGCATATTTTTGTTAAAGATATGTAAGTACTGATCGTTTCTATAAAAATTTCTGAAAATCAAACAATTAATTTTGATAATTTACTGTTCAGGAGTATTGAATCAGGGGTATTGAGAAGTACAAAACAGTACTTATTTGAACATATTATGTACAACAACTGTTTTAAATACTTTTAACTCTAAATCTCTGTCTCCTGATGAAGCTGACAAAAAATCAGCGAAATATAGAGAATTAAAAGAAAAAATGAGTTTTTGTTAAATTACAGACCGCATACCCGATACACCAAGACAATAAATTGTGATTTACGTTTTGGTCGATAATTCTACCAAATATATATATATATATATATATATATATATATATATATATATATATATATTATATAATATATTTATATATTTATATATATTTATATATATATATATATTTATATATATATATATATATATATATATATATATATATGCAGATATACCATTTGATGGAATAAATCATATTTCTAGAAGTAAAACATAAGGAAGATGTACTTTATGCCAAATAAACACATGCTTAATCATCATCTAGCCATATGTTGCTCCACT